ATCATTTCGATAAATGCAGCTGAAAATGGAAATACTGAACAATCTCGACTCCAAAAGTTTCTATTGCTGTTCAAGAGTAAATTTGGTTTACTCTTGTTTTTTTCTTGTTTATTTTCTGGTCACTACATTTTCCATTTATTTTCAACATCTTTCACGACTCAATACTCAATATCCTTACGACCACCGCCCCTTAACAAATGGTCGGACTTGTATTCCCATCCCAAAGTTAATTGTACTACTTTGACCGGGTCTAGTTGCCTGGAGCGAGCGAATGAAGCATATGGCTTATCAAATCCCCTCATTCCTATCACAGGCGAAATTGCCGAATATTTTAGCCAAAATCTTGATAAACAAATTTTACCACTTTTCATTCAACACAATTATTTTTCAACATTTTCACTAGTGTTTTGTGCGGCAAAGATTTTTAACAAAGGAGTCAATAACTTACTCTATCATATCAGAAAACGTTACTATTATGAAGATTTGTATGCTCTCATTTATCACACCACGAATCCTCATAAGAAACGTTGGATTATGAAATGTTTATACGCAAGTATTGATCAAGGATATTGGGCTGTTACCTCAGATCGAGCTTATTTCAAGATTTATGGTCCTTGGATAAGAAAAGATTATCCACAATGTTGGCGCTTCGAAAAGCTGAATACTCAACCTCAAAGTTCATATCGGCCAATTAACTATTCTAATTTTTCTGGTTTTCTGTATCTTTATGTGTCACTTAGTTTTCTAGCATTTTTCGCTTTTATGATTGAACATCTTACCATGAAATTGACAAAACGATATCCTTTTGTTTTTGGAAACCTTTAGAAAGCTGAATGTGACTAATAATAAAATCCCTTGATCACTTTAGTCTCGTTCATACTAGAAGCTCGATTGATACTTTAGGTCGTTTTAAATAAAAAATCATCTGTATACAGAAATAATAATTATATAATATTGTATATTGTATAATATTACAAATTCACAAAACTTGAAAAAAAGTTGAAATATTTCGAGGGATTTCTGAGAAAATTATCTAATTAAACTACGGTTTGAATAGAACAAATTGATAGACCATCAAATGAGCCTATGGGCTTACTCGATCCAATTGACATTCATTTCGTTTATCCGCTTCTTTTTCTAGATCCATATTCAGCGACGATATTATTGTAAGCGTTAACATCTTCGTCTCGGTGAAAGTTTTCATCTTCGATGCCATAACGTTCATTGAGATAGTAAAAGTCCCTGAGAATGAAAACAAAAAACAATTTATTGTAATAATAAAAGTGAATTTCATTGAATTATTTTCTTGGGATTAAAGTTGAAATGTCAAATATTAGTACAATAAAGAGCATAGAGAAAGAGTTTAAAACATTAAGTGTTACAGTTAATAGTCGTATAATTTATCCATTAGGAACGATAAATAATTCCGTTAGAATTGTTAGTAACTAGAATGTACAATCTTTGATGAATTAAATGATATAAATTGACAATAGATTCTAAATAACAGTTATTCAACAATTCTTATGTGAAAATTATGCAATTAATTTGGAAACTTTTCCCATTATAAAATTTGTCCAATTCTATTAATAATATAGTTCGTAACTATTATCTCATCGATCTCACTTATAGCATTTAATAAACTGCGGGGAGTGGAAACTCATCACAACGTTGACAAGATGAATTTCAGTCGAAACTCTTTGATAGTACACAGTCCGAATACCGATTTATCCAATTCTTTGATCAGAATTCGTCTAACTCTTTATTTATATAATATTTTGAGTGATGTTTCCGTTAACTGGACTTCGTGCTTGAAAAGTGAAATGTGTAACATGTCATTCATAGACGCTATCGGAAAAAATCAGAATGATTTACTTTTCCCACCTCTTGTGCTAAACTTTTTCAAGGCGATACCTGAAAACATTTCCATGAGTCCAGTTCTGTCCAGTCAATGGTGTCAATTCACTAACATTTACCCGAAATCATCTACTGGTTCAACTAGCAAAGGATTATTATCTTCACTTGAGATTATCGATCACCAAGTTTATGTCTTTATTATGTTTCTATCATTCCTTGGAATTATAATATATTTCATCCGCTCTCATTCGTACAAGCTCATCAAGTATCGAAGATATTTAATCAAATGGTTTCTGTTTAAAATTCGTGGTCATTTTGGTCTATTACTTTTAATATCATTTAGTTTCTCTATCCATTATTTATTACATCTACTTTCGACATCTTTTACAACAGAATATTCGATAATATTTCGCCCGAAGCCAATCACCAAACTTCCTGATCTACTCTCTCGTTCTAAAGTTGAATGTGTTGCTTTCAAAAACTTCGACTGTTTCTATTATTCGAGTATCTATTTTGGTAAACCGAATCCGATAGTTCCTATCAACCTACAGAAACTAGAACAATACTTGAAAGAAAATTTTGATAAACAACTAATAAGTATTTTCGAGTCAAGTTCCTTTTATAGTCTATTGATTTACACATTTTGTAGAGTTGGACTTTTAAAGAAAAGACAAAATTTCTATGTTCATTCCAGTTCGCTCACCTACTATGAAACAAGTTCGGTATTAGTTTACAATAAATATTTGATGGGCGAAAAAAAGAGATGGCTCATTAAAAGATCTTATTCTTGTATAGAGAACGGATATTGTCGCTTAGCTTATGGTCGGACTTTAAGAATATTTCATAGAACATATAATGACATCAAACTGACCGACGGTCAATGCAATCACATTACAGACTCAAGTTTACAGGCCAGAAGTTCATACCATCCAATTGCTTTTCCAAATATCATCGATATACTAACTTGGACTCTTTCGCTGAGCAGTTTTGCAACAACAGTTTTCTTAATTGAATGTTTTATTAGATGAAGATTTTTGTAAACCTCCTAACTGGTTGAAGGAGCTGCCTTAATTATTGCGTTAATTATTACGGTAAGACTCAAGATATGTCCGTCAGCTCGATATTTTAACTTTGAGCTGATTTTTTTTCGGCTTAAAGTTTAAGCTACATATGAAAATGGACTTAATTGTTCAGTTAATTGTGTTTGTTTAAATTAGTTTAGGTTAGGTCTTCGCTAATAAGGGTCACCATGACAAAAGAAAGGCCCGGAGGGCCTGAGACAATCAAACCGAACCTTAAGCCGAGAAAAAAATCAGCTGAAAATTGAAAATATCGAGCTGACGGACATATCTTGAGTCTTACCATTATTACATGCATCAAATTAATAAATTTATACTCACTTCCAAGTGATTATACTTATGGATTAGTTGTTTTTACGATCAATTTATATTGCGATGATTTATAATGAATGATATTAGTGAAATCTTTCGGTGTGTAGAATAGTGATAATACTATGATTCGATTAACTATTAGTAAATATCAATAATTAATATGTTGTTTTGTTTCCGATAGCTTGTAAATCGTTGCCTGAAAGCTTTATGAAAGAAATTATGTCAACTCAATTATCGATTGTTGGTAGAACATGGAAACATAGTATTGATGATATTAAAGATATTCAATTGGAAAATCATAATTAATTGATGAAAGTTGAAATGACAATCTAATCAATATAATAAAATGAAGATAGAAAATGAATTCTGACAAAGAAAATCATCCGAGAGAAACTAAAACCATTCGATCATTTTATTGATCAGGCGGTTTTTGACCTGACCCACAAGAAGTGGGTTCTGATGAATGAGAGCCGTTTTAAATGTTTCTCGACATGCGTTTTCTATGTGAGACGAGTTTCGTGAACTTTTTTCAATTCAGCCCGTTTCACGGGGAATTTCCGTGAATTTTTCGAACTCAGTGCCTGGGAAGGGTCAAGATCTTTGAGCCCTCAATTATTAATAAGGCCGGTTATCGTAATGAAGTATATTTAGATCGAAAGAGCAGTATTGATTGTATAAATAAATGGGTAGAAAGTAATATCGACGGCTCTAGATTAAAGGCCACATTGCTCGAAACTTCGGATTGACGGAAAATCCCTAAGCTGGAATTGGGCGTGGCCTTGATGCTATCCACATGACCTAATCTAAAATTAGTGACCTTAAAACTAACTACACATTCTGAGGTTTTGATACATAGGTAGAAATGTTGATCTATAGACCGAAAAGTTCAGTAAAAATCGAATTATTGAATGTCCATCATGTTATCCTGAAAGTTCATTGGTACTCAAGGGGTTCAGATTTGTAAAATTTATGAAAAAATCAAAAGTTATGATAAAAGTGGTTATATTGAAATTTCTATTCGATAAACAGGGCCCATATGAACAATAAATTACTACAAAATCATCGCGTTCATGAATTCTGAATAAGTTTCAGGCCAATTTAGCGACCATGCACGAAATTCGAGTACTTTTTCTATTCTCATGTGTTAAACACGTGCTTCATGAAAAATTAAAATTTTTGAATCGATTAGCAATCAGAGTAATCTTATAAGTTAAAAATTAAGCACAGAATTCAATATAATCATTCATTTCATACTCAGGTCAAAAACCGCCTGGTCAATCTAATATCTTTACTCTCGAAAGTTCAAGTTTTGACTGATTTTTATTTCGAAGCTCAGATTAAAATGAATTTCACTCAAGATTCTTTTCAAGTTCTCTACACTGTTTTCAAAAAGGATTTAAATCCGAAAAGCGAGGTGTTTAGTTCATTCCTTGCTTCTAACATTTTAGGCAACGTTCCAGTAGAATTTAGCTTTATTCCAGAGAATCGTGCAAATGAAAGTCACCTCTCGATTTTTTTATCGGGAAATTATGACCTGATGTTTAGGACAAAAAACACCCATGAGTTTAGATATGGATTGACCAATGTGACTATGAGCCCAGTGTTAAGGAGTAGCTATTGCGCTTTCTCGAATTTCTATCCAAACTCGTCAGCCCCTTGGATTGACAAAGGGATTTTATCATCATTTGAAATCATCGATTATTATGTTTACCTTCTCATCTCAATTTTGTTTAATCTTGGTTTAATGATACGATATATGATATAACCATCGGAACCATATTAGTAATACTCACAAGCCTTCAACTTATTTATATCCAAGATAAGATCACCTCTGATCCAGTTGAATTATGGACTTCACCTAAAAGTCAAGCTCGAAAAGAGAAACTTTACTTCGATGAACATTTCGGTCCATTTTATCGAACCAGCCAGTTGATCATAAAGAAAACAACAAATGAACCAAATTTTGATTATACATCAGCAAGTGGAAAAAATTATTCTTTCAATCCAATATTCGAGAAAGAATTTCTTTTACAAATTCTACAAATTCAAAATGAAATAACATCTCTGACCGTTAAATTTGAAGGTAAAACTGTCACATTGAATGATATCTGTTTCAGTCCATTGGGTAACGGTAAATGTGCCGTTCAAAGTGTAATCGGCTGGTTTCAAAGTAACGAAACCCGATTCGAAGGTGATCCAATCACCAACTACACTTACCTTGACCACATCATTTCTTGTCTCAGTAATCCATATGCTCCTGATGATAGTCTGAAACCCTTTCACTATCCCTGTCTTGGTGAATATGGTGGACCCGCTCTACCTAAAGTAGCACTTGGAGGTTTCAATCTTGCTGATTCATTAAAATCTGCATCTGATGCTTATTCTAAAGCAAAGACTCTTGTGATAACCATTTTAATAAACAATCATGTGGAAAAATCAGAAAACAAGAGAGCTGAATCATGGGAACAAGCATTTCTTGACTACATGCACTCATTTAATCACACCAAATATCCCAATCTCGATATATCATTCTTCTCAGAGGTAAATTATTCATATCATATTTTAATCTTTAGACCAAATTTTCACTACTTTCTTATTCCATATTTACAGAGATCAGTTCAAGATGAGATCACCCGTCAAAGTCTTTACGATATTTCAACGATCGTTGTCAGTTATTTGGTAATGTTTGCTTATGTCTCATTAACTCTTGGTAAAATTCCGTCAAAAAATCAGTTCTTTGTTCATTCCAAGATTGGACTTGGTCTTCTTGGTGTTATCATTGTGATAGCCAGTGTCGCCTCTTCTATTGGGCTTATGATACTTTTCGGTTTCAATTTAACTTTAATCATCATGGAAGTGATTCCTTTCTTAGTTCTTGCTGTTGGTGTCGATAATATTTTCATTCTTGCTCAACATTTACAAAGACACGTTCCAGCAGAAGGAGAGACAAGTCAAGATTCTGTTGCCATGGTACTAGGTAAATGTGGACCATCCATTTTGATGGCCTTCGCTTGTGAGGTCACTTGTTTCTTCATCGGGTCATTATCGTCAATGCCTGCTATCCGTATGTTTGCTTTGAATGCGGCACTTGCTCTGTTGATTGATTTCCTATTACAAATGTCCATTTTCGTTGTTGTTTTATACCTTGACATGGAAAGGTCAAAATCATCCCGATTCGATATCTTTTGCTGTTTCAAATCCAACAAACCCAACAGCCCAGAAGCCAAGAACGAAGTCGACGAAGCTGGACTATTACATAAAATTTGTAAAGATCATTATGCACCATTTTTAATGAAAGATAAAGTTCGATTAACTTTTATTATCGTGTTCGCCCTATGGTTATGCTCATCAATCGCTGTGATCAATAAGATTGACGTTGGACTGGATCAAGATTTATCAATGCCCCACGATTCCTATGTACTCAAATATTTCAAGTCACAAAAACATGATCTCATGGTCGGTCCACCAGTTTATTTTGTTCTTGGTGGTAAATTTAATTACTCTGATCTTTTCCATCAAGAACTTATCTGTGGTGCCAGTTTTTGTGGTGAAAATTCACTCTTCAATCAAATCAGTCAAGCATCTCGAACTCCCGAATCAAGTTACATTGTCGATACTCCAGCATCTTGGCTTGATGATTACTTTGATTGGGCAACTACATCATCTTGTTGTCGTCTATGGAAAAATGATACCAGTCAATTTTGTCCATCAACTTTAACCGATGTCAACAGAAATAAGGAGTGTTCATTATGTCCAATTGCTGATGATGATTCCACAATTAAGCCAAAACAGTTTTACAAGTTCTTACCTGATTATCTATCAGATGTACCAACAGCTTCATGTCCAAAAGGTGGTAAAGGTGCTTATGGGGCTGCAGTTAAATTGGACGAAAATGGTCAAGTATTAGCCAGTCATTACAGCTCATTCCATTCCCCGTTAGTCACATCGAGTGACTTCATTGCCGCCATGAAAAACGCTCGCTTCTTAGCCTCTAATATTGAGAGAGCCATTGGTACACAATTACAAGAAGGAGAAGAGGTCACAGTGTTCCCATATTGTCTTGTCTACGTTTACTATGAGCAATATTTAACCATCTATGAAGATTCAATTAAAAGTCTTGCCCTGTCAATCGGAGCCATATTTCTGGTATCATTTGTCTTGTATGGATTTGACATCAAATCGTCAATGATTGTCGTTTTCACCATAGTCTGTATAGTCATCAATCTAATGGGAATGATGTATTGGTGGGATATCTCATTGAACGCACTTTCGTTGGTTAATCTTGTGATGGCCTGTGGTATATCGGTTGAATTTTGTTCACACATTGCTCATGCTTACCTATTAAGTAACGAGGAGACCCGAAAGGAAAGGTCGCAAGAAGCACTTGCATCAATGGGATCCTCGGTTCTTTCCGGTATAACATTGACCAAATTTGCTGGTATTCTGGTTCTCGCCTGGTCGACATCTCAAATTTTCGTTGTCTTTTATTTCCGAATGTATTTTGGTATCGTTATCATTGGTGCTCTTCATGGTCTAGTTTTATTACCAATCCTATTAAGCATATTTGGAGGTAAACCAAAATTATCTAGAAAATTGATCCAATCAACTTTAAATAATCCTGAAAACATCCAACACTAATTAAAAATCTTATAATTTTATAAAATTATTGATTAATATTTAGATAAAATTTCAATGAAAATATTTTATGGTCTCTATTCTTGACCAATGATCTCCATAATTAACATCTAAAAGCCAAATCACTAACGAAATGTCAACGAAAACGAAGCAACAATTCCTAATTTTAGATAATATTCTTTTAATTGAATAACTATTATAATAAAATTCCAATTCCTGTTTATATTTGTAAACTACGATTTTCAATCAATCCAATTAAATCCATTGTAAAGTTATTACATCGAAACCATTACAATGTTGGTGTTTTCTTAGATGCATCTAATGCGATTAACATTATCCAGACGAAATACAGCCAAAGACTTTGAGTTTGTAACCACTTTCTTAATTATTAGCGCAGTTAATGATAATCAAGTAAAGATAACTTTTGATATCTAATCAGTTGACCATTTTAAGACCACATCACTCAAATGAGTGGACAATACTTATTATCATATCTCTGGGTTAACTGTATCTCTCATTGATTATCATTAACTGCTTGAAGTATTTAAAAAGTGGTTAGACTTTCAATTTAATTATTGTTTTAGAACGTGAAACTTTCTTAATAGGTCATCTCTCGATTAAGATCACGGATCATGGAAGAAAATATTAACTATTAATATTTAAAGAAGATATCTAACAATAATAACAAGTTCAGATTAATATTAAAATTCGAGACGAGAGAAATCAATTAGACCAATTATTAATACTTCCATATTCACGCTTACAAAAAGTACAAATCCAAGTGACATATTTTGATTGAAGATGACGAATTGCAGCTTCTAATTCCGGTTTCGCCTGATCAGTCACTAGTGTTGTTGCGAGAATAATCGAGAATCGATATTTCTCGAGATTTTTTGAGGTGAGAAATATCGAGAAGTGTTCTGATTAATCGAGGGGTAAAAGAAAGAAAAAAGACCGAGTAAAGGGGAGGAACTTACACTTCGATTTTTATGTTTTGTTTTTCAAAAAAAGCGCTAAAAAAGAAAGTGAAAAAGAAAGAGAAGAAAATATCGATATTTCTCGATAAATGGTTCGATATTTTCTCGATGGATCGAGCAAATCTTCAAATTCTGGTCGATCAAATTCAGAAGTTACAGTTCGACGCTCACGATCACGATCTCTAAGTTCTGGTCGTGCAAGTCGAGAATTGATAGTTCGGGCTCTCAATCTGGATCTCGAAATGTAATTCCAGGAGTAGGGGCTAGGCGGTCAAATACTGGTGTATTGGAATTACCTTTACGAGTAAAAATCATTTACGAAAAGCCGCTGGAGCTAGTGGTATTGATCAAAATTTAATCAAACGCCGATTTATCGGCAGCAATCTCGATTTCGGCCATTCTGAAAATGTTTTCAATTTTAAAAGAAAACACTATCGAAGAAGGATAACTCTTTTGAAAATTGGTAAGTTTACTGATCATAAGGATTTTAATTAAATTAGTATTTATTATTTAACTTTTTTTATTGTGGTCAGGATCTTCACTAATTGTAACATAAACGAACATGAAATAAAAAAGAAGCGAGACAATTCCTTCGGTAAGTACAGTTACCAAGTGTTCGTCGTTGAGCAAGAATCTGGTGTCTCACAAAAGACCTTAAACGCTTGGGCAAAAACATTCTTCGATACCAATAGAACTTGTCGGTATCCTGGTTGCATTTGTAACAGCACATTCGTTGCTGCTGGTAAAGCTGGCCAGGACGAGGCTCGACACATTACCAGGTGCTATGCCCGTTATGTGTGTAACGATCGCAGTTCACATTACGGGATTTACTCAACTCTAACTGGACATTGGCCTGATACTTGTGCTATGCGAGCTACAAGGGTTCACGAAGTTGGCTCATTCATTCATTCACTGGTTCTGACAGTGAATCAGAACTGGCATCAGCAGATAACCATAAAGTTCCTGCGGTCACTGTTGAGTTGGAAAAATTTCGAAGAGATGTACACTCTTTCGGTCAACCGTTCAACGCGATTAAATCAAATACTATGGTTTTTAATAACCCGATGGCCAAAATGATCACCGATACTGCTGCGGAAGTGGTCAACCAAATGATTGATCATGAAATTCCGGTTATACTGGATCGCAATATTGTGTAAGAAAATTTTATCTATTCATTTTTTTGCAGTATTTACCTAATAATAATTTCAATATTTACAGTGAACTTTCCAAGCCTATTTCTTTTTCTCGAAAATTTTTGGCGCAAAGTTCAAAGTGTTGAACCGCGATAGCTGTTGATTAAGCATTATTTATTTCATATCATTCAATATTTTTAGATAATTAGATTAGATTTAGTTTTTTCGCAATTAGAAATTATCAAATTCACCTCTCTATTTAGTGTACATATTCCATTGAATAATAATCAATCAACATACTAATAGACACAACTTAATTAACGTTGTTGTCTATCTGGAGTAATTTTGGAGAACGCGCATCAGAGGCGCTGATTTTTAAATGACAAAACATTTGCTAATTTTGATAATGAAATCAATTGAATTTTATTGAAAAAAATTTGATTAAAATACGAGAAAAAAATTGTTATAATAACAATGATTATTATTAAAAATCACAAACATTTTCTTACACTAATTATTGTTTTTCTTTATTAACCTTGATTTAATTAATTTGTCGCATTTCAAAAGGCATCAGAGGCGCTGATTTTCAAAAGCAAAAATAGTAATTTAACAATTAGCAGATGAATTAACTAATTAACTGAATATAATTAATCAGGTCAGTTCACTTTGTTGATTTAAATAATTTAACCTTCTCGAATCATCTTGTTTATTTAATCAACTCTTCAATTATAAAAAGACACAAGAATTAGATAGTGGTTAGTTTAATATTTTCTTTATTTTAGTAAAGTTTTGATGAATTGAAATGAAATAAAAAATTGTAGTAAAAATAATTATTTGTGTAATAAGTTAATAAAATTTGTATTTAATTAAAAAATATCGTTTGTAATTGTGCGTTGATTCAGACCAAATATATTGTATCCAAAACAGCTGATCAGAGAAATGGCTTTTTTTCAATTTCATCTTGTAACTATGGAAAAGTTTAAGATTGCTGCCAAAAATTTAAGAAGCTCAGCAAGTCTAAAAGAATATAAATTACCTTGTAGAGAGAATGAGTTTGACAATTTGTATAATTTCATTATCACCCAATTTACTGTTCAAACTGGAGGGTAAGCTTGGTTTTTATTTTCTCTTTCAATGTTAATTTTTTTATTTTTCGTTTTTCTCTTAATAAAGTGTCTTTATCGTGCTGGTGTTCCTGGAACAGGTAAAACAGCTACTGTTAGAGGTGTGCAAAGAAGAGGAAAGTTGCTTCGATTTCTGGAGATGCTCGTAAAGCATTGGACATTTGCCGTCGATCGATTGAGATGGCAGAAGAAGACTTTTCTGGACGAATAGTGAGTGATGGTGAATTTCAGGTTTCTTTGGCACATGTTAAAAAGCCATCGCGAAACGACCTTATCACCTAAGATGATCTACATAAGAGATGCCTCAGAATTTGAGAAAATCTTCTTCTAGAAATTTGTAAACATTTCCAAATATCTGGAACTGAGGAAGGAACATGTGATATTTTCACTTATTGATCGAAAATTTGTTCAGCCGATGGCTTTCCTGGTGTTAATTTCTCTGAATTTCTCGAAATAGCTCATTGTTTACACGAGTCAGCGTTAATAATATTAGCATCAGGAGCTATACATGCTCAAATAATGCGCAAATGATATCCAACGATAATAACGAGTTCAGATTAATATTAACGAGCAAATCAATCAGACAAATTATTAATACTTCCACATTCACGCTTAAGGTCAACTGTAATTACATTTTTATTAATATTCGTTGAACATATTCGATATTAATTGAGAATAAAAATTGCTTCGAACAGAAATATTTTATATTCGATTGATTTAAATTTTGATAATATAAGTTTCAAGAGTGTTGGTTATTAAATCGAGGGTTTCATTTGATGAACGAAACATTCAATACAAAAGACAATCAATGCAAGAATATTAAGTGCTACAAAGAGCTTAATTAAATCAGCATAATTGGAATAAGTGATCGGTTCATATGCACCATCAGGTGTAGCACTCAATTTCTCATATCGCCAACATGGTGGGTAATCTACTGTTAGATATTTAGTTGAAGCCACTTTTACTGCTCTACTCTGAGCAACACTACAATATCCTTGTTCAGCGCATGAATATAAAGATCTGATGATCCAACGTTTCTTATTAAGGCTCGTGTTCATAGCATAGGCCAGAGAGGTCAGTTCTGTGTAATAGGAACTTGAGCTAATGTGGACGAGGAAATCGGTTCTATTCCTTTTATCAAGCTTTTCTTGGCAAAAGAGTTTAATTACCTGACGGTGTATTGCACTACTTTCGAAATGTACCAAAATTGGTCGATTAAGATTTTCTCGGAAATGTTTTGCCGCTGATTTAATTGTGACGATTGGATTTTGGTCACCGAAAGACTTATTGGCTTTTGAAACATAGACTATCAAAAGCAGTGCAATTAACTTTGGGATGAGAATACAAGTCGGGCCATTTGTTTATTGGAGGTGGTCGAAATGATATCGAGTACTGAGTCGTGAACGATGTTGAAAATAGATGGAAAATGTAGTGAACAGAAAACGAACAGGTAAGAAACAAGAATAATCCAAATTTACCTTTGATTATTACGAGAAATTGATCAAATGAAGATTTCTCAGAGATAAAGTAGCCCAATCGAGTAAAATATATTACCAGTGCAAGGATAATTAGGATAAGCATGAAAATATAAATTGAATATTCGATGAACTCAAACGATGATAAGATTCCCTTGTCAATCGTACTACTTGATGAATTTGGGTAAATATTCAAGAAGATACATTCGCTACTTTCTATCACCGGGCCGAATGCCAAATCATCATCGGGTCGAAAAAAGAACGGCGTTACCTTTGGAAAAATAATATCATATTTGGCCGATTTTAAAACGTCATCAAAAGTTTCATTATCACTTTTTATATCTTTTAGATATTCAAATTTCATAGGAACACGACTCAAGATATTCTCAAGAGTTAATTCTTCGGATAACTTTACATATGGACTGGATGGATTAAAAAGCATTAGAACGTTTAAAGGATCTTGAGTAAAATTCATTTTCTGATAAAAACTTAACCAAACTAAAATCTGAACTAAAATATTCAGTTTCGTGTTTCTGGATCTGGAGATAGAAAGACAATCGAAGACGTTGATTGCATTTTTTGTTTCTTTTTCTTACAAAATCGGCACAAAAAGAAATCAAAATGGATAAAATGTCTAACATTTCGAACATTAAAGAGACATTAGTATCTCCAATAAGAAATAAAATATCAATTTCACTCACTCAAATTATCAATTTCCAAGTTTCGATTGAAAATATGATGAAAAATTTACTTTTTCTACTCTTTATTTTGATCGATTTGATTGCTGACTTTCACTTCAATTAAATCACAGGAATATTATCCATGTTGGAATTGCGAGATAATTAAACTGTTCTACACTTATATTAGTCCAGAGTTTAAGAAATATCTGTAGTTTGTCGTTACCATATTTTTTATGTTATTAATAAATTCGATGGTAAAAATTTACAAAGAGTTTCGAGTTAAAATACTGAATTCATTTGATAGAAAACTTAATAACAATCAAGAAATTCAATATAATCATAACGAGTTGGATGAAAGGGACAATCATTCATATCATTTCATGTGACATCATCATAAATGTATTGAGAATAATAATTTTATTCAAATAAAAAATTATTGGGTTACTTTACAAATTAATGGATTGTCATCAAAGAAAACATGAAATTGTTTTATTGAATTGATATTCTGAAGTACATAAACAAACAAAATAATAAAAATCGTGATGTTTTAACAGTTTCAGGTTTGCTTTAACTCAATCAGGTCAAAATAACGCTCATTGAACTTTTAGACGATGAAAATGCGTTTATCTATCGATACATGTATTAATATGTTCGTACAACATTTAATTTTATGAACAAATGATTAAACCGAAAATATGTTATTAATATAATTCGGCAATTAGAATCAATTTATTACTGAATTGGTATCACATTTTAGAATGATACGAATTCATCTACGACTCGGCTAGATGTAATTCTGAGGTCGACTAGATGTTATTAAATCTAATAGGTTTCATGGTCATTAAAATTATTGAATTTCTAATATTCTAAATGGAAATCAGATAATAAGGCATATAAATGTATTGATTAATCTTTGTGAGGTTTCTTATTATCATCTATTAAGGAACGAGGTACTCGTTAAGAGGAGACCCGAAAGGAAAGGTCACAAGAAGCACTTGCATCAATGGGATCCTCGGTTCTTTCCGGTATAACATTGACCAAATTTGCTGGTATTCTGGTTCTCGCCTGGTCGACATCTCATGGTCTAGTTTTATTACCAATCCTATTAAGCATATTTGGAGGTAAACCAAAATTATCTAGAAAATTGATCAACTTGATCACTATTATTACTTAATGGTGAAGATTTTTGATCAACCCAATTAGAGTTTAAATTAAACTTACATTTCCATCATTTCCTTTGTCTTTCATGTGAACGGAAATAATTAACACTAGAAAAACCCAATTCACCCAATTAAACCTAGAAAATGGATGAATAATTAAACTTGTACGTAGATGAAGACATCTCAATTTCATCACAACAATTAATTAGATTGATCGAGTAATTTTTAATTGGTGTTGTCTTCAAACTAATCAAGTTTACAGACTATTACATTTTTCTGAGTGATTCAAGAAAGGCAAGGTTTAGTTAATCAGAATGTCCATAATGGTGCTTATAATTTTTTACTTTTACGCGATTAATTTCATCAACTGTGGTGAAGGTAAGAACCTTTTTAGTTATTAAATGTTTTCTTCTGTTTTAATTTTATTTATTTTCATGATAAAAAACTTTAGCATCAGTGATCGAAATACCTAAAGGAGAGTTCGAGATCGAAGGTCTAATACAATATTATGATCAATACGTTTCTAGCCAATCTGAATACTCATTCTCTGAGATAATGATAATCAGTGGTTCTTTAGGAGAAGCAAACGGTTTGACTGAATTAAAAAATTTATTTAACAAAGAAGAAATAACAGTTTATCATAATTTGAATAACACCTATATAAAACATTTAATTATCAGAGGTAAGTTTCGACTCAATTGTTTATCGATTTAACTAATATTCTTATCCTTGTTTAGGAGATAAATGTGTGGATATGGATGATGCAAACCAACAGCAAACAGAAAGCAAATTAATGAACAAAATGCTGCTCAATGGTATTTATTATTTCTACTTCATGGTCACCAAATATTTTAAGAATGTAAGAATCATTATAATTACGAATTTTTTTACTAACACAAAAAAAGTAAATGAATAATGTATTTACCTAATTCTTTTCCAGGTAACGGTTTATGAATATTGTAACTCGTACACGAGACGGAAGACATTACTTTTAGCTATTCCTGATATTATGAAGAAAAACTTTGAACACATGAGAATTACCCTGACTTTTACCTGTAAGTCTTTCTAAATACCTAATACCATAGATGGATTGTTCAGGGCGAGTTCATGATTAGTTTTCTTTAATTTTCCTTTTCTCAAGGTGATACTGGATCGGAATCTATTAACTTTTCACAATTAAAAGAAATCAATATTAAGAAAGATTATTTTCAATTGAGGTTTTTTGATATAAATGTGACAAAACTTTCTACGGGGAGAAAAATCATCCAGGTATGAGTTGATAATCATTATGGTAATTTTTTAATCCTCATTGAGAATTGAATTACTTTCATTTGAATAGCCTCCTCTTGAAGTTAACTGTCCTTACCTTTTTCACCATGGCATAAAGTTTCCAGGGAGTAAAGTTTTTCAAGAATATCATGTAAATGTATCTGAGACTTTCGTTGATCAATCAGTTGGATTAAAATCAACAAGTGAGGTAAACATGATTTTTTTATCCCTTGTAATCAATTCTAAATAATCAATTTCAAATATTGAATTATTATAATTTTCTTTATCGTCTCTACTTTTATTGGATAAAGTTTATTATCGAAACTCTGGAGGAAATTTCTTCAATCAAAAGATTTCAAGGTGGGGTTCTCATGGAATCAATCAATGATTATCGTCTTGGACTCAAGTACGTTCTAGGTACTAATAAGGATAATGGTCGAAAGTGCAAAGTTGAACCGATTCCCATCGATAGTGACACAATCACCTTGACCTACAGTCAATTGAGCTTCAATAAAGTCGCTTGGCTTGACTTAGAATACGATTACAAAGGACAATATCTACTCGTAAGTCTTATTATCACCTTCATTTGAATATTAATGAAATCTAATGAAGTTACCTTGATTGTTTTCATTCAGTCATGGGAGCCGAAAAATATTACCTTTAATGTTTGGAGAGCGGTTGAATCTGACAAAACTGAAAACGATATTATTTATAATAATATTTCTACAACTTTATATATGCTTGAAAAGGTAAGTTCAAGATGAATAATAATCGGAACGATATTTGACCTTTGGGCTTATATTTCGTAATAGTTATCATATGAGGAAGAATTTCATGTTACCATCAATGACGAAGACACTTTTTCCGGTTATATTCTGGTCTATGCGACCAGAGATTTATATCCAATGTATGCAAATAAAGTAAGTGGGAATATTGGATTTTGATCTTCGAATTAACTTAATTTCATTCTTAATTTCATCAGAAAATATCACAAGTAAGAAGATTTTTCAATTTCACAATGAATATTGATGGGATTCGTTCATCAGCATCACGTAGACACCAACAGTTACTCAGTAATTGTTACGATGATAGTGATAATATTGCTAATATTACTCTGAACCTGAAAATAGCAAAAACTGGTGAGTACTAAATTTTACAACTTAGAAATTTTTTCATCCAAATTTTTTTTTCTATTATTTCTTTGCATCTATGGAATATGATTTATGTAAATCTATCTAATAGATAATTTTAATGATACAGAATCAGAGCTTAATCTTATCGAGGTTGAGAAATCTCTTATACGAATTATCAGCAACTTCTTGCACATTTCATTTCTACGGATCATCTCGATAAATTTAACATCCCCTTCAAAGATTTACATCAATGCAACAATTAGAATAGCCGAAGCAATAGATCTATTGGGTAAGTAACATTCTCACCTTGTTGATATTCAACCATTAATAATTCATCTATTGTCTTTTTACTAATTCAGATTTACACTCGAAATCATATCGTAAATTTAATCGCAATACTTTAGCACAATTTGATTCTATTGATGCAGAAAACGATGATGATTGTTTAATCCAACAAGCTGAAAGACACGATACGAGCTATGTAATTAGTTGTGATTCTGAGCAAATTAATTATTGCATCAGGCTTTCTACTGGACAACCACTTCCACAAGAAGATTCAACTGGAACTGTTTGTTTAGTTTACAATAATTTCCATGATACTTTGGCTTCATTTACCAAAGAAACACCTTTAGCCAGTCTCTTGAAACCAGCATTCACCTTACGGGGCATCAAATTCCTTGTCAGCGATTCACATTTCCAAATTCTCGATGCTTGGACATCAAAATACGAAAACGCCATCGTTACAATGGCACCAGATAAAAAAACGAAAGGTAAGGGGCGAAAAAACTAATCTAAAGACTTGATTTCCATTTAATTCTATTAGGATGATCAGAAAGTTTTGCACGAAAAATTACTTCCATATTAAACATTGAATTACGCAAAATTCACTGATTTGAGAGAATTAAATGTTTTTAATTTTATAAAATGAGAGTTTTTTATTTCTTAATCATTAAGTTAATCAAAATTTGAAAATTTCCTTCAGGAAAATTAGCAAAATTACCTAAAATTTTTTTTCGTCGACTCTTTTGACGGGCTTAAAGTGGCCTTAAAATAATTTTTCAATATTTTTGATCATTGACTGTAAATTCAGTAATTTATTCTGTTGAAAATTTCAACACTGAATAATCATAATTGAGAAATAATTCGATCGAGTTCTCAAGAAAATTCAAAGTTCATGATAATGAAATCGTTTTTACCATTGAGTCAATGGACATTTTTTAATTTTCATGGTGAACTTTGAATTTTCTTGAGAAAAAAGCTCGATATTCGAATTTAATTTTCTCTTTAATTATGATTATTTAATTGTTGAAATTTTCAACAGATAAAGATAAATTACTGAATTTTAGTCCAATGATCAAAAAATATTGAAAAAATTATTTTAAGGCCACTTTAAGCCCGTTCAAAAGAGTCGACGAGAAAAAAAATTTTTTAGGTAATTTTTGCCGTTAATTTTGGCCTGGAAGGAAATTTTCAAATTTTGATTAATTTAATGATTAAGAAATAAAAAACTCTAAATTCATTATTTCAAAAAAATTAAATCTTTGTAATTAAATAGTTCGAGATGTATTACTTGTTTAATTTTCGATTGATTTTTCGTGCAAAACTTTCTGATCATCCTAATAATAATGATACAACTTTGAATTGGTCAGAATTTGTAGAGACAACTAAACCGGAGCAAGAGAAAATAATTGGAGAAACACCGAAAAGGAGCAATGCTACTCACATTAAACTTCAAAAGTACAATAGTACCACGAATTATGTTCAAAAACCATCACATTTGGTTCGACATTTGGTTTTAACGATTGTATTGATTTTAACTTTTGTTCTGATTGGATTTGGCTTAAAAAGATGGAGTTACAGTCGATCAATTTACTCGATATCAGAGGTTGTATCTCTTACAACATTGGACCAAGAAATGTCAAAATAATGAAGTTCTATCAGATCGAACTTCTCATCTAATAACTTTAATGGACATTTATCGAAAAACAATTTTCAAACATTCGTCTTATATTAATTTACATAAAGCTCATTCACAAAGATATAACGTTTACCTTTTTGATGCCAAGTTCGAGCACCATAAATACAAATTATTGTAATAATAAAAGTGAATTTCATTGAATTATTTTCTTGGAATTAAGTTGAAATCTAAAATACTAAGTACAATTAAGAAAATAGCAAAAAGATTTTAAAACGTTCAAACTTATATTAGATATTTACAGGGCTATTCAGCTATTTTTACCGATGTTTTTTGTGATTTTCTCAGCAACTAAGAGTCAGAGAGACACAAGACTTGAGTGGTATGAGTTTGAGCGATACTCAATTGTCATATCAAAAGATCAAGGTCATCAGGGAAATAACGCGTTTCAAGGTCATCTGAAGGAACCTCAGTTATACTCCACATTTTTTAACGCCGGATAATGAGTTTAAAGATCGTTGTTGTTACAGATCTTGAGATATTACAGTTTATTTGAATAACTGTTGAAATATAACATAATAACAAATATATAATATAATATAAATAACTGTCTCTTTGATTCTTAGTTGATGAGAAAATCGCAAAAAACATCGGTAAAAATAGCTGAATAGCCCTGTACATATCTGTATTTAACTTCAGCGGGCCAGAAAGCATATTTATCATACCGCACAAGACGTCTTTGAGGTACGGTATCCTAGGATACATTGAAAATTATTATTAATCAAGTAAAATTGATGATAAAAATTACTAAACTTACAGACGATAGACCATATTCTCTCGCCAATAAACTTGTCGGTGCTCTTGTTGATGCTGATGTTGATGCTGATGTTGATGCTGATGTTGATGCTGATGTTGATGCTGATGTTGATGCTGATGTTGATGCTGATGTTGATGTTGATGCTGATGTTGTTGCTGATGTTGTTGCTGATGTTGTTGCAGATGTTGTTGCTGGTGAAGTGCTCAAACTGGAATTATTTATATCTTTCCTGGGTGCGTATTGGATACCACTACGTCTGGGTCTCTTATTTTGTGATGCTTGATTATCTATACATTAAAGTGAATGTGAAAAAATTAAAATATGAAATACGAAAATATGTGCAAAATAATGAAGAAGAAGAAAATGTCAATAAAAGTTTTTCCTAGGATGATAAGTTCTTGAAATTCATTTACAAATATCATGAGATGATCCTTAGTTCATTTTAATAATTGCTTTCAAGCGCATGCAAATTTTAACCTAATCGCTCTCTTAACAATGGGAAACTCATAGGGGAAAAAAATGCCAATAAAAGTTTTTCCTAGGATGACTAGTTCTTGGAATTCATATTTCTATGATGACGAGTGCTGATTAAAAACATTCTTACTTTTTCTTCGTCGTGTATCTTCAATTATTAATGGAGGACGATCACCTGAAAAGTTGTCTTGTTGTTGCTAGTTTTGCTGTTGTTGCTGGTCTTGTTGTTGTTGTTGCTGGTCTTGACGTTGTTGCGGGTTTTGCTGCTGTTGATGTTGTTCACGGTCTTGATGGTCTTGCGCCTGAATATTTTGCGCATGTAGGTTAGAATAGACCATTCTTAATAACATATAAAACACAAGAGAGAGAAAGAAACACAAAGAGAGAGAGAGAAACAGAAACAGAAACACACATAGAGAGAAACGTAAAGAAAGAGAGACAAAGAGAGACACAAAGAGCAAGAAAGCGGTAGAAACACAAAGAGAGAGAGATGAAAAACATAAAGAGAGAAACACAAAGAATGAGAGAGAGAGAGAAATAAAAATAATTGTATATACAGGGCTATTCAGCTATTTTTACCGATGTTTTTTGCGATTTTCTCATCAACTAAGAATCAAAGAGACACGGGACTTGTGTGGTATGAGTTTGAGCGATACTCAATTGTCATAGCAAAAGATCAAGGTCATTAAGGTCATCGGTGAAATAACGCGTTTCAAGGTCATCTGAAGGAACCTCAGTTATACTCCACATTTTTTAACGCCGGATAATGAGTTTAAAGATCGTTGTTGTTACAGATCTTGAGATATTACAGTTTATTTGAATAACTGTTGAAAATCTTCTATTCAATTAATTTATCTTAACGTGCAAAGCAAAGCTCATAGAAACCTCAAAACTTGTCAGCAGTATAACTGAATATTCTTTTTTGTTGAATTACTTTCAGATGACCTTGAAACGCGTTATTTCCCTGATGACCTTAATGACCTTAATGACCTTAATGACCTTAATGACCTTAATGACCTTGATCTTTTGATATGACAATTGAGTATCGCTCAAACTCATACCACTCAAGTCTTGTGTCTCTCTGACTCTTAGTTGCTGAGAAAATCACAAAAAAACATCGGTAAAAATAGTTGAATAGCCCTGTAGATTATCCTGCACCTGCGACAATTCATGGAAGTCGACTATGGCAAAGCAGCGATAAATATATCTGATGTTGTAGATATGAGCCAGGATGATTTTTATAATCTTCCGACAAAAAGTTGGAAAACAGTTGACCAGAAGAAAGTACTATCATATGCTAAGGCAGGAGAATTTAATACGGATTTCATCAAAGAAAATCCGTACATACTAAAATGTCTCTATTGTGATCATTATAAAGGAGCGGTCAAGGAATGCGTACGCATGTTCGAGGTAACCCAGATGCTGCAAACTTCTACAAAAGTATTTGTAAAATAAAAAGAGAGGAAGATGAACTTCGATCCAACAATTGCCATGTCATACCTAAAAAAGATCCATGGGCAATAATTTGTATTTTGGATAGAAAACACAAATTCACTGATCCGATTCCAAAGAAAATGGTGGACTTTTACATTTATGGAGGGACTGAGGCTCATCCTATTACCGATCCAGCTTTAATTGGCCCAAATTTGTAATAACACATTCATAATTAATCTGATTTTCTCTCTAACCTCTATAATCTCTCTCTCATATAAATCACTTTCAATCTTTTATAATCATTCTTAAATTTTATTCAATGAACTTTTCTAACAGTTTTTATCTAATAAATAATTTGCAACATTATTTCAACCTATTTCTTAACCATCCCTTAGCTACAGAAACTTTTCATTCAAAGTCGGGTCTTTGGCTAAGGGATTTCAGAGAGGGCTGATTGCACCTGGTACCTGATATTGTATGTGAGGATGAGGAAGTTTGATGGATGTGTTGGAGTGAAAGGGTATGAAAGTGTTGGTGTGAAAGGGGTGCAATTGGTCCTCTTTGCCCTTAGTCAGAGACCCGACAATTTTTACCCTACAATGCTTCACCTCCGCGTGGTGTAGGGTGGTAACAATGATAGACATCATTGGCTAACGAAGAAAAATTCTATTTAATTTCAACAACTTGTTAAAACTATCTATATTTATTTTATTTACAAATTAATACCATTGAGATTCAATTTATGATTACCTTGAAATTTTTCCTTTATACTCAAATTGTCAAATTACCTGAAGGGATTTGCACTTGATTTTTTTATCTTCAAATTGACAAATAACCTAAAGGCATCACGATTTGTTTAGTTGTAACTCTTTTTATCTAGATAGAATCTTCCTTGAAATACATGTTACTTATGTTCTCAATCTTTAACCCACAAGGCATTTAATTTGATTCAATGCAACATTTTAAAGATAAGACTATGAAATTTATCAATACAATCTTTTTCCTTTTCACGAAATAATCAAATGTCTTTTTCATAAATTATTCGCATCACGTACCTTCAATAAAAAAACATATAAAAGAAGAAATTGAATTTAATAAAAATCATATCAAAAAGTTTCATGCATCATGATCTTTGAAATGGAATTTATGTTCTTTCCACCAATGAATAATGTAAGTATCAAATAATCAACCCAACGTTAATTTTACTAATAATTTTTCATCTTTTTTCTTTTTTCTTATCATAGGAATTTCCAGATTTGGCCAAGGAATGGCGACTTGATGACAAGCTGTTCTGGAGCTGGTTTTTTATGCTCAACAGCATGGTGGACGACTGGCAAACCCAAGCTGGTACGGATTTTTTAGACTATTATATGTCCAAATTTATTCGTAAAAAGCTGATCGAAATCGAGATTCAAACGAATGGCAAAACCGCATGGAATAACATATGGTTAACCGCCCAGGTTAAAAGCTTAGAAGCGGCTCTCTAGTATGGTTATCGGAGATATAAAAGCCAATTTTATGCCAACCGACAACCTGGTATAATCCATATTGCGAGATTTGTTTCAGAATGATCCTTAGAACTTGATTGACTACTACTTTAAATTTTTGTTTTTTATTTTTGTTTTTTATTTTTGTTTTTTATTTCTAATTTTTTGTTTTTTACTTATATTTTTAAAGCTTATTTTTGTTCTTATTCTTATTCTTTTTCTTTCTTTTTTTGTTTTCATTTTCAATCTTGTTTTTATTACCAAACTTTTTTTGTTTTTAATTTTAATTAAACTGCTTGCAAAATCTTATATTTGTTGCTCCTATATTCATTTGCTTTACCTTGACCAAAACTTTAGTATAAATAGAAAGAGAACAAAAATTTCACCATAGTCTTACATTTAACAACACTGTATCAACATCAACTATATTCATCATGGTAAGTTTAATTTTACTATGCATTACCCTTTCACATAAATCTTTATGTTTCAATTACTTTTCTTGTTTTTAGTCAACACTAGCAGAGCGACAGCTGACCGATGAAAAGTTTTGGGATATTTTAAATGGTATGAGGTATGCATCTGAGGAAATGAAAGAAGGATGGACAATGGAGTTCATGGCGAAATTCGCGTCAATGTACCTACAAAAAAGAATGATCGAGAACGAGATGAAACACAATGGAAAGACTGAAGAAGAAAATGTTCTCCTGATAAATATGAAAAACAATCTGTACGGCTATATTCTAGAACAAGACCCCTGAAATATCGACTCCAAATTTCTTGTGAATAATCTTGTCACACATAGTAATGCACATGTTGATGGAATTTTTGAGGAAACTTCTGTGAGCAGAGCTACAGCGCGACAAAAGTCGATTTTTACATAGAGCTCTATGGGAAAATAATAAGTTTTGTTATAACACTATTATTGATTTTGACTGAGTCATTTTCAGCCAGTATGTACATCATAGTATCAAGTATCTATGACCAAATTTCAGTCCGC